CGTGTTAGGACTAAAAGTCAAAATGGACTCGTGTTAGGATTAAAAGTTAAAATGGTATCAGGAATGTTTTCCCTTTTCTCTCTATTTTTTGCACATCTTTTCGTAAAAAGTCAAAAAGTCATCCCAAACATACTAGTTTTTTTTACATCACATTTTAGTCAAAAAGTTACTAAAAAAGCATGTTCCCAAACGAGGCCTTAGTAACTTTTTTTCACGATTTTTATGAATTATCGCTAAAACTTACAATTAGCAACATTTTTTTATGATGAATTTTTCAAATTGTCGTTGAAAGTTGAAAATTAATGACATTTTTTCATGATGATTTTTTTAAACTGTCGCTAAAATTTATGATTAGTGACACTTTTTTTGACAAAATGATTTTTTATAAACAAAATACTAAACACTTTTTTTGACACTTTTTTCACATTAAATACTAAACAAAATGATTTTTTATAAAAAAATCATCCTAACCATGAAAAATCAAATGATATGTAAAACAATAGCCACGTTATTACATATATATATATATGTGATAATGAATTAGAGTTGAGATATAAATGACTCATCATTATATATAAGTAGACTGCTTACTTATAGAGAATCGTCAACAATAGGTTAAGCACATTATTTATTTATTGTGATAAATCAAAAGCCAAGAACAAAGGTCGATGAATTTTGGCCGTTAGATTTTACCTTGTAATTGGTCAAGCATCCTTGATGAAATCAATATTCAGTCCAAATACCTTCAATCAAAATCAGAGAAAGAAGATATATAGAGTGATAAATTTTTTAAAAGTAAAAAGTTTTGGAGTAAAAAATTTACTCCATGCCAACGGAGTAAATTTACTCTTTGGAGTAAAAATTCACTGTCCTTCATTCAAATTTACTCAAAAGTAAGAAAAAAAAAAAGTTTTTAAGGACTAAAGTATATAAGTAGCCCAACATAAAGGGACAAAAAGTGTAATTTATCCGAAACAAAACTAGTCCTAAAATAAAAATTGGAAGTTGTAGTTTACATTATTTCCATCGTCCAGTAAAGACGGTAGGAAAGCAAATTCCATAATTGGGATGACTTTCGGGGTGGAGGTTGAAATGCAACTTGTCCACATGAATGTGATGGTTAGTGTGCCCCTCCTAGGGGTTGAAGAAAAACTTTACTTAGAATTTGTCATGAAAATTGTTATGAATAGAAAAGTGCAAAATTTGTCAAGAAAATTGTTATGAATAGAAAAGTGCAATTTATGTACAGAAAATGTTGATGTTTTAAAAATAATATATAAATTTATTTTTCAAATTTAATAATGTGTAAATGAGATGATTAGTTGATGATTAAAAAAAATATGAGAGAAATTTATCTTAGATATTCTAATTAATTACCAAATCATTGAGTGTGAAAAATTAATATAATTTATGAGCTAAAAAGTGTCTACATTTTTTAATAATTGAGGTACACAATAGAAATGGCTCGTAAACATTATAATGAACCATACTTAAAACAACTTTTTCCAGTAACATTTTCCTCTGAAACTATATAGTACTGTATGTATGACCTTGCTTTTCCTTTTAATTTTTTTTAACCCATTTTTTCTGTGTGTTTACCAATCAAAGTTGAGAGAGTTATCAATTACACGTTATGCACATTTTCTCACTTTTTTGTGAAAAATCAAAAGCTGTGGCCAAGCAAGGTTAAATGAATGTGGACTGTTTGATATGTCCCCAATTCATTCAATGGCTCTCTCAAGTCATGGATCATGATTTCGACATTCAGGAAGCTAGAAAGAAAGTTGGTATAATTTTCGCCACAATAACGCCGAGAGAGGAAGACTGAAATAGTTACAAAGACTCTCTGGCTTCACTGACATCAATATTTGTAATAAGCCTGCTACAGCTCTGATCAGGGTATGCATTGCATTGCAAACATGCTTTGTTCCCATTATTTTAGAGCTACAAAGTCCCATACATACATCAATTATGAGTAAAAATAACGTATCGTCTTCTTCTTTTTAACGTGCTCTACTCGTAGCACTGTGCATTGCGGCTACTAATTTTTTGTTAGTGTCAGCAACTGTGAATTCATTGTCATTATCATCGTTAGAGGCCAAAGCTCTGCTCAATAGCGGTTGGTGGGGAAACTTTTCTTCTGCAAATCATTGTCACTTGGCAGGTATCGCTTGTAATCAGGCAGGAAGTGTCGTTCGGATTGTCCTTTCTCCTAATTCTGTTTATTCTTCTTCTTCTTCTTCTTCTTCTTCTTCTTCTTCTTCGCCCCACCGAAAGCTTGAAAACATGGATTGGACTTCCTTCCCAAACCTTCAATTTCTCGATCTCAGCTTCTGTGACTTAACTGGAAGCATCCCCGAGGAAACTGGTACTCTGTCAAAGCTCACCTACCTCGACCTCTCAAGCAACAAAAATCTTGAAGGTTTGCTACCTCTTACCCTGGGAAACCTCACCCAACTAGTACAACTTCGCATATATTATACTAATATCACTGGTCCAATCCCTTCATCTATTGGTGAATTGACTAATCTGATCTATCTCGATCTCTCTCCAAATCGAATCAACGGTTCCATCCCTGTAGAAATAGGAGATTTGATGCAATTGGCATACTTGGACCTTAGCCATAACCTCCTTACAGGTGAGATCCCATCTTCAATAGACATGTTGATTAACTTGAACTTTTTTGATGCATCTTCAAATCAAGTTAATGACACCATACCCGCTGAACTTGGGCTTTTATCCAACCTTAGACATCTCAATTTGTCATCAAACAAACTGTCAGGCCAACTACCACCAATCGAAGCTCCCAACAGGTTTCAGTATCTGGACCTCTCTCATAATTTTCTTAACGGGCCCTATCCCAAAGGAGCTAGAACAGCTTAAAAATTTGGAGTACTTAGGATTGAATGACAATTATTTGAATGGAACAATACCAACCACACTTGCATGTTTGTCGCAATTACAGTACTTAAATCTCTCCCACAATAATCTCTCTGGCGATGTCCCATGCAGTGTTTACTCCATAATTGGTCTTCATGACTTGTCATACAATCCTCTCAACCGTCAAATCCCACAATATGGATATGATTGTCCACCCGCTAATTGTCCGCCCCCATCACAAGACCCATCCCAGAAAAGAATAGTGATGCTTACTCTCCTCATTTCTCTCCTTATCATAGTTTTCCTTAGTTTACTTGCATTTGCGTGTTTTCGTTGCCGCAAGACCCATAAAAAAGAAGCTAAGGAAAGAGCAATGAAAAATGGACATATTTGCTCGATATGGAATTATGATGGAAGAATTGCATATGAAGATATCATCAAAGCAACAAATGACTTTGACATCAGATATTCTATTGGAACTGGCGGTTGTGGCAGCGTGTATAGAGCTCAATTGCCGAGTATAGAGCTCAATTGCCGAGTGGCAAAGTAGTTGCCTTGAAGAAACTCCATCGTTTCGAAGCAGAGGAGCCTGCTTTTGACAAGAGTTTTAGAAATGAGGTGCAAATGTTAATTAACATACGGCACCAAAACATAATGAAGCTTTATGGGTTCTGTTTGCACAATAGATGCATGTTCTTGGTGTTTGAGTACATGGAAAGGGGAAGCTTGTTTTGTGCCCTGAGATTTGAGGTTGAAGCTGTTGAATTAGGATGGACTCAGAGGGTAAACATCATTAAATTAATAGCACATGCTCTATCCTACCTGCATCATGATTGCACCCCACCTATTGTTCATTGGGACATATCGACAAACAACATTCTGTTGAACTCTGAAATGGAGGCTTTCATTGGCGACTTTGGCACTGCTAGATTGTTATATCCCGATTCATCGAATCAAACCATAATTGCAGGGACTTACAGATATATTGCCCCATGTAACAACAATATTTTTCATTTATATGTATTTATTTTTTCAATAAAAAGAAGGGAAAAAAAAAATTTGGTCTAAGTTTTTTTTAGTGACATACATATATATTTAGTGGCCAACAATTTTTTATCCTAAGTCACTGATAGATAAATATTCCACATAATTATTTGTCATTAACTTGCTTCAAAATAGAAAGTGAAAATATAGAATTTCTTTCATTAATCTTTTTGTTTGTGCAGAACCTACCTATACAATGGTTGTGACTGAAAAGTGTGATGTTTATAGATTTGGGGTAGTAGCACTAGAAACAATCATGGGAAGGCATCCAGGAGAACTTCTCTCATCATTAGCATCGCCGTTCACACAAAACTTAATGCTAACTGATGTCTTAGACTTGCGCATTCCGCATCCAACTAATCCAGTGGTTGTAAGGAACATTGTTTTAGTTGCTATTGTGGCACTTGCATGTGTGTGTTCTGAGCCGAGATCTCATCCAACAATGCTATGCGTATCTCAAGAGTTGCTTGTATGCAAGAAGACTTTAGCTACACATTTTCGTACAATTTCACTATGACAACTATTGAATCCAGAAATGGATTTTACACAAATAAAGGAATAAAGTCAATCATGAGTTTCTCATCGGAATAAAAATACCCCTTTTGAAATATTGATTATCATTTTTTTATGGGTCTTGGGTGTTATAACTATTATTTACATATGAATTTTTCACCTACTCAGCAAACTCGTGCCACAATGAAAAGAATGTTCCCCCACAGATTTTGAAGTTCAGATATTCATATTATGTTTCTAAGCTTGTGTCTATTCAGGAAGTGCATTATCTCTAGGAATTCTTAACATCCCTTTCACGTAGAATAAACACAAAGGGTCCCCGTTGTGAAATCATCATTAGAACATTATCATCATTTGACCATACTTCGCTAAAGCATGAAAATTTCTGTTTCAAATTTCCACCTTTGCAGAGGACATGTATCATCACTCTATCTAGTGACATGCACACATTTGTACAAGTGCAGTTGCACTGGGAGTAAGACTCACAGGAATTTAGGATCGGAAAAGTTCCAGCAATCTCCATGCATGTGGCTCAACCATGACAGATTAAAATGCAAGCATAATAGTAAACAGCCTTCATTTAGGAGTTCTCTTCTATAGAATAAAAATTAAAATTAAAATTAAACAAAGGCACAAAGCAGGAACATCTGAAGTTTGAGTCTGTTTAAGTTCAAAACAATCTATAAAGCCACACACGAGTGGCTTCATGATCCTCTCAGAACTTTTTAACCCACCCATGGATCATACTGCACCCAAAGGCAAAACCCACCAACATCTTAACCTCTATGGAAAACGAACCAGTATTAACTTCAAGACCCAATTCTGCAATTATCCGCTGCTCAAATTGATTCCATTCATGACATGTGAAAAAGGAAGGGAGATGGGGAAAAATAATGCACATGAACTCAATGTTCTGGTTGTCTGATAATAGGTTTTGGTGAGCGATGAGGATAATTATGGTGATATGGAGAAGCATATTGGCCGTTTGGTAGGGAGGGGCTCCGTGCTGGTTGCCCATTCTTTGGTAATGCTCTTGTCTGCTGTTTAGTGACATTTCTAGTATATGGGTTAATAATCCCAGCCCGTTCAGCCTGCATAGCCTGGAAGTAGGATGAGGAACAGGCCATGTCCTTGAGGTCGGGTAAAGGCTTCAGTTGTTCAATAACTTCACTCATCAGAGGTCTGGCTTTTGGATCACGGGTAAGGCAACGAGAAGCCAACTGAGCTGCTTTATGAGCACCCTTTACTGAGAAGTGACCTTCAAGGCGAGGATCTATTAGTTGATAGAACTTTCTCCTATCTCCAAGATATGGTCGTGCCCATTCTACTAAGTTATGCTCCCCATTTGGTCGGCTTTTGTCCATGGATCGTCGGCCAGTCAACATTTCAAGTAAAACAACCCCAAAGCCGTAGACATCACTCTTTGATGTCAGATGTCCTGCCATAAAATGGATGATATATATAACTCTCTGTTGTTCTTTTAAACATGCCAAACACAAACAATCCATAGAGCATATACATAACATATATATAGCCATAACCTAAGTGTCTACAGTTTTGGAAAAGCATTCCATATCCAAATTGTAGTGTCACATTTAAGTGTGTCCATATCAAACTATATGACTAAGGCCTCGTTTGGAAACCCTCCATTTTAGCCAAAAAGACAAAAAGTTACTAAATTAGCCAAAAAGCCAACAACCCATACCAAAAAGCCAAAGATTCTCTTTTCTCTCTACTTTTTGCACATCTTTTCGTAAAAAGTCAAAAAGTCATCCCAAACATACTAGTTTTTTTTAGCTCATATTTTAGCTAAATAGCCAAAAAGTTACTAAATTAGCTTGTTCCCAAACGAGGCCTAAGTTTCATCAATCAAGTAGAGGTGCCCATTACAACAATTTGATAATCCAATGCTTACATCATTGTTGTTGACCTAAGGTAAATTAAACATCAGAATCAAAACAAATACGGAAACTATATATATAGTAACTTATAATTCATGCTTCTTCTAGGTTCATTCATACTAAATGAAATATGTATAAATTATGACAGGAATAAGATCTTTGCTCTCCAGTGCATTGATCTGCTCATTGTTTTAATTTTCTGGCTATGATCATGTGAATATTCACAGAAGAATTTTCTTTATTGGAAACCTGGCCTAGCTCACCTAAGTTCAAGCGAGCAAAGCTCAAACGCCATTCCATCTTTGTCAAGCCAATCCAGAACAACCTAGTATTTTACTTGGCTCAGGCAGGTTCATTTGCTGCCCCATATATAATTCATGCGCACACCAAATTTTGTGTTTCTATACATATATTCAAGTATTTTCAGTTTGTCCTCAAACCATCAACCATTTAAAAAGGGGAAACAAATAGGGAATTTCAAGATGAACCGTTATTTGGAAACTAAGTTGACAAAGCAAATTAACGACACTCGGAGAAATGTGCCTGAAAAGAGTCACATGGAGTATTCTACATTCAAGTAATGCCTTCTTATAAAGGAAACAATAGAATATCATAAATCCAGTCCATAAATCCCATGAACCCAGGAACCAGAAGGGGAAAGAGCACAGGTACAAATGAGGTTTCAAATATATCCAAAATAAATAAAAAAATAATGAACATATAATCTAACCATGCTGACCTGTCATGACATACTCTGGGGCAGCATAGCCATATGTTCCCATTACTCGAGTAGACACATGGGTCTTATCTCCTTCTGGGCCGTCTTTCGCAAGTCCAAAATCAGAAAGCTTCGCATTGTAGTCCTGAAAAAAGAAGTTCGAGAAAACAATAAAACTAAACAATAGGAAAACTATGTTGTTCTATGAACTGTTGAAGCAACGTACCACATCTAAAAGGATGTTAGAGGTTTTAAAATCTCGATATATAACTGGCCTTTCAGCTTCCTCATGAAGAAAGGCAAGACCCTTTGCAGCACCAAGTGCAATTTTCATTCTGATGGACCAAGGAAGAGGCAAAGACCCTGCCACAGAATTCATAGGTGTCATTTGTTTTTAAAATAATTAGCAGAAGTCAGTTGGTGGGTGAAGCATATGGAAATATTTAAAGAAAGAATTAGTCCAGTTGCATACTTTTGAACAGGTGATTTTCCAAACTTCCCCGAGGCATAAACTCATATACAAGCAGCCTTTGATCATCCTCAATGCAACACCCAATTAATTTAACCAAATTAGGGTGAAGAAGGTCACCAAGAACATTTACTTCAGCCTGCCAAACGAAAAGTAAAAAACAACTATCAATCAGAACAAGTAAAACAAAGATACTCTGTTGCAGAAATCTTTCTGAAAAGGAGAAATATTCATACAAGCCACTCCTTATGACCCTGAAGTCCATCATGATTGAGGGTTTTTACTGCAACCGTAAGCCCTGTTCCAGGTCTCACTGGTGTTGTTCCACTCTCATTGATCCAACCTTTGTAAACACAACCAAATCCTCCCTCCCCAAGGAGACTCTCGGGTCTAAAATTCCTCGTTGCAGACTTAAGCTCATTGTAAGAGAACTTTCGAAGCTGAGAAGAAATGTTCAGTTCGTCTATGTTGGGAGTGCTTTCTGCATTGCTTGTGGTTGAGGATGATACAGCTGGGGCAACTGGTTGGTCTATGCTTGTCTCATTTGTAGATTTACTCTCCGCTATGCACGCAAAAAAAAACACCAAATGTCAAGTTATCTAATTCATTAGCAATTGGCTACCCCATGCATGGACGCATTCATAGTTCCCGATTTGACATATCATAATACACTATACATCAGTCTCAAGAAAAGGTTCTCAAATGTGGCAGAATATGACATACAAAATTTCCCACATGACTACGTACATCTATCAGTAAGGATTGCAGCATTTTATAAGTTCATATTCCTTGTACCTCCATATTAAGTGATCAACAACTAACAGAGCTGAATATCATGGAGAAAACAGTATGGCAATATAGCTGTGTATCATGGTGAAAACAATAAGGCAATACAGCTCCAAAACACAATCACAATCAATGGCTTAAAACTTCATAAATCTATGTCTGAACTTTTCATCCTCATTTCTAAGATATACAACAAGCTTTGAATGCATAAAATCTAAGTATATAAAACAATCTTTGTGCATCAAAACCAAGCAATGATTTACGAATTTTTTTCCTGATAACTCAACTTAATCTTTATGATTTTTTTCCCTAAACTTAACCAATTATTTTAAGGATTTCTTAAAACTTTTGAATCATGTTAAATAGATATTAAAATCCCAGTAAGTAATGCAAGCCCCTGCTAAGTTGAGTAGCCCAATAATCGCAACCTTGCACATTGGTTTTGTTAAATACACTGTGCACATATGCTAATAGCAGAAAAATTTTGGTTAAAAAATAAAACATAAAAAAATAGTTTTTTATCTTTTTAATATATATATATATATATATATATGTATATATTGCTCTCTCTTTTAAGCATTAACAATATATGCAAATGTAGTCAGCATTGCTTCCATGTTTGGTGGACAAATGTGAGACAATTAGTTTTGCTTGTTATTTATTTATTGTGTCATTAAGTTTTTTATTCTCTTGATAAGCATTAAATCACGTTAAGTGTTTGGGTTATTTTTTTATGTTCTAACATTATTTTCTTGATTCCGTTCATTACTCTCATAACTCACCACACTTCTATCCATATATGCTAGTCTTTTTTCATGGAAAATTAAAAATATTCTTAAAATGGCAGTAGAGACATCCATAAGAAAGCAATGAGTACTGCACCAGAACTACGAAGAAAGTAAAAGGAAAGACAAAGTAGACATACAGGATCAAGATTCAATCATCTAATAACAGTGTCTAGGTCAAAGAATTTCATACAATATATATAAGATTGCAAAACGTGTTAAAATCCACGAAAATTATATCCAGTTTCAAAAGCATATTTGACATGAAGACCCAAGGGCTGTTTATTACATATATTCATCAAACATGATGCTATACTGTTCGCCTTCTGTCTTTGAATTCTATCCCAAATTAGTTTTTAGTTATCTATTAGGCCACTATATTGCCATGCAGTATCAGAAAATCACGAGAAAAAATATATATTTGCAACAAAAATACTTTTCTTAAATAAAGGTGTTTCATCATGCCAAATGTATCTGAGGCAAGACCACTAATTACAGAAAACAACCTAGAGGAATTTCAAAGGCGTTTCAGCAAGTTTCACAACAAATAATCTATGCATGCATCCAAAATGTGAATCAAAACGAGTGCATTATGCCTTTTTTGTTACGGGATCCATCATAAACTTGATACATCCATGATCTGTACTCTATCTATGTATGAATCATCAAGTTTTAAAGCTCAAGAGTAAGTGATATAGTTTCCATATTCTTAACAAAACTTCTTAACTACTAGAGAAATCTTCTCTATATATTATGTACCTTCAATCTAAAGAAACACATAAATACAACATTCCATAAATCACATCCCAAAAGATGCAAGTATACGAACACAATACACCGCAAAATCAAGTCATACACCTTTCATTGAGCCTGAATCTGCTCCAGCAGCATTCACAGAGTGTTGTCTTTCTAGGTTTGTGAAATTCTCTGGGTTGTGGAATGAAATTTGAAACTTGATTGTTTCTATGTTAGGAAGGGTTAATTATTAGAAGTTAGCTTTGTGTTTCCAGGGTTCTCATAAGGCCAAAAACAGGCCTTGAGAGAAACAAGGGTGGTTTAGTTGGCTGGATCAATAAGATAAATATTTGACAGCTGTAATATCTCTCTCTCTCTCTCTCTCTCTCTCTCTCACTCACTTAGTATACAGTCTTACAGTTATTTTTTTATTCGCTTCTCTTGCTCCCCTTCTAGAACTATTGTCTCCTTTCTCTGTTTGTTAATCTCTCTCCCAGCCTATCTCCTCCTCAATCTCTTCTTGCCTCTCTCCATTCCTCTTTCTTCTCTCTTATATCTCCAATTCTCATAGAACGCTTTTGTCCTTCGTTCAGCCTATTTGTTCCCCAATCTCTTCTTGACTCTCTCCTCTCATTCTTTTCTCTTATATTCTCCAATTCTCATAGAAATCTTTTGCTCTTTGTATCTCTTAGCTTAATTTCAAAAACCCTAGCCCAATATAAATAAATAAAAAATGCAGTATGAGTCAGCGAGTGAGACGTGCATATCATTTTGCATTTCATGGTGTTATACGCCTACTTTTTCTCTTAGTAGCAGGGAACTTCTATGGGGGTCTCGCTCCCCCACCACCTCCATCCTGAGAGAGGCTACTTGATACTGAAAAGAATTCATGTGAGAGTAACTTATCAAAAAAAAAAAAAAAAAAATTAGAGAGTAACAGGATACAATGCCAGGCCATTATAGAATTACCAACTATTTGTTTTTAATAAAAAGTTAATATTGGATATATAACCGAGTGATCAAATTTCTGTAGGTTCAATGTCCTTCACCAACAAATATAACAAAACTAGATTACTATCAAGTACGCAAGACAATGAACAAAATAAAACATGCACGTAACACGCAATTGATCACAACAATGTACTCTTGCCAGACCAAAAGTTTAGCTGAAATCCATGATAGAGATCAAGAATTATGAGCAACAAATATTCGAGAAGATCAAATAAAAAAAATCCTCTTCGATCAAATAGTGGAATCAAATCTAACGTACACTTAAACATGCACAAATTCAATATGATCATTGCAGGACACAACCACCAAATGTCCATTCAAACTTAACAGCATGCACCAATTCGGGAATATCATATAATGAGCATCTTTCCGTCAATGATGGCAATAATCATTGACAACAAATTTATAAATAAATATATCATCTTGCACAGGCAATTTTCAGGGAAGTCACAAACCGGGAAATTTTTTAGTAAGTCGTTTCAAGAGTATACCATCTTGTGTGCTTGTACAACTTATAGAGCTCTCTACTTTGGACCTTGCGGGCATACACCTCTCTAAAAATCTGAATTTGAACCAACAACCCATCTGCGCAGCATCTTCATCTTCCCTCTCCTTTGATTTATCCACAACCCAATTCCCCACCTTAACAGCATCAGCAGATTCAGGACTTAACCCCATTTTCCTCTCAACCCCAAAATTTAAATTCTCTTTTTATAATATTTTTTTTATATTTTTTTATCAGCAACAAAAGAAAGATTTTATTTAGATGGAAAAGAAAACAAATTTAAATTCTCATACACCACTTCAAAGTACCTCAATCCATCTAGTGTCTCTTAATAAATTTACCCTAATCTCAAGATTCAGAACACATCAAAACCCACTGAAAAAAGAAAAATTAAGAACTACCCAAAGGAATTTGTATATATATATATATATATATATATGTATATGTATAACTCTACAAATAAATAATTAAAAGCTTTGAATTCATCAACCACCAAAGAGAGTTACCAACACTCGATTTGAAAACCCACAAAATCTCTCAAACACAGATGAGAAAATCGGGTTGAGCGGGCTGCGAAAAGCCGAAATGGGCATGACCCATATCAGGAAAAACGACATGCAAGACAAAACCCACAATGCAGAGTTATATACGAGTACCACATTGATAACAAGTGTATAATTCAGAGGCCCGAAAACCCTAGAAATTGAGGCGTAGAAGATGAAGGGTTCGGAGTCCAAAACGAAGTCGGAATTACGAGAATCCTACATGAGTACACACACGCACAAACACAAACACAAACACAGACACAAAAGACATTACTATATACAAGCCTATCAATGTTCGAATATGATCCCCTAAAGAAAAGGGTTTTCGAAGATAGAGACAACGACACAGGCTGCTTTCGAGGCCAAGCAAGAAAAACAGGAGACTCTGTGTGCGTGAGAGAGAGAGAGTACTGTGTAGAGACTAGAGAGAGAGAGAGAAACGTGCGTTTTGCGTGAAAAGCAGTGAGATAGAGAGAAGAGATGCTCGAAGGGATAATGGAGACAGAGTGGGGAAGGCAAAAACAACGGGCGGTGAGGGGGAGTATTAATGAATTTGAGATGTGATTGGTTGTTGAAGATTTTGTGACGTGGGATTAGAGGAGAGTGGGGTCCACTTACAAGGTCTGTCACTCAAAAACATTTCACTTTCTTCGTAGAAATAGCACAGTATAACCGACTGGACCCGCAATGGGTCCCACTTTTATTTGGGTTCTCGCTTTGGAGAAATTATTTGGTGGTGGGAGAGTATGGTGAGGTTGTGTTTTGGAAGTGTTGTGATTGGCAGTGGAAGTGGATTCATGCTTTTGTATTGGATTATAATAGAATGGCAAGAGAACTTTGCAATTGGTGGTTGGTTGAGATCATAACTTAATAATTTTTTGGTTCAGCTTTCTCTCCCGACTAAAATCATATTGGAGCATGTTGTTAGGTTTCGTGGGCCCACTATAGAGTCTATATTGATAATCTAAATCATTAATATTTGAGACTTATCAAATATTTCATTCATGTAAAATATCATGTTAATCAGATATCGATAATCATTTGATCACATCAAATTTGTGTAAATGACAATTATAATTTTAAAAATTAGTTATTGACACAATTGTAACCGATCAATTGGATATTGATATCTAATTATCATTATTTTTTACATAAATAAAATACTCGACAAATCTTAAATATTGAATGATTTAAATTATCTATATGAATTTTGTATGAGTCTACAGAAGTTCTAACATGATCCTCCACTTGAAAAATCCAACTCAGGAGAAGCACTATCCTAATTTTTTCTCGTTTGTTCTCAATCAATCCGCACTTGCCCAATCGAATGGGTCATTACTCGGTTCAAGATCATACCTTCGACGGATCGGGTCGAATGCAATTGTGCTTGGGTTTTTAAAAATAATTATTTGTTGTCCTAAATTAATATATTGTGCTTTTTCAAAATAAAATATAAAAATAGAGATTTTTATTGATAAGTCCAATTTAGAAATGTTTTAACCCAAGAAATCCATGAAGGAATTTTTTAACCCATTTAGTCCCATGTATGTATAGTTTTATTCCATAAAGTCCATTTTCTTGATTTACACTATTTTCTTGGACACTTATGCCCTTATATTTAATTTTGATACCCTTATAAATATTTTTTCAACGATTAGCAATTTAATGATGTAAACATTCATATTTTAAAATTAACATTGGTAGGAATGTAAAATTTGGCCCGTGGGAGACCTGAAACTCGGATCGCGAGCCGGGGCGCCGGCCCGTTACATGTGAAATTCACATTGACGTATTAACATTTTCACATTAAAAGAAGTGTAAATTGACTCTGTCCCTGGCGGGCGAGACCCCGCCCGCACCATGGCCGGCCCGGGGCGATCCCCGGTCCGGCCCGTGTCGACAATGTGAAATTCACATTGACATGTTAACATTCACATTTGAAAGAGCATAAAATTGTGGCCGCGGCCCATTGGCGGCCAAAAGCACGCCGCCGGCCCGGGGAGGGCTCGGCACGCCGTTGACAAATTGTGGAATATTCACATTGACATGTAACCATTCACATGATATTGAGTATAAAATTAGCCCGCGACCTCGGTGCGCTGCCCAAAACCAGCCCACGACCCAGTTGGCGGGCCCGGCTGTGACAATGCTGAATGTACACATTGGACATGTTAACATTCACATTAAATAAGAGTATAAAACTGGACAGCAGCCCAGGGCGGCGCCCGCACCCGGCCTGGCCCGGCCATGTTGACAATTGTGAATATTCACATTGACATGTAACATTTACATTAATAGAGGTAAAAAATGGCCCCGTCCCGTGACGGCGCGCGAAACTCGCCCGCAGCCCAATGGGGCGGACCCGGGGCGGGCCCGGTCCGGCCCATTGACAATTGTTGATATTCACATTGTGACATGTTAACATTCACATTGATTAAGGGTATAAAATGGGCCGCCGGGCCCATGGAGCCGGCCAAAAGCCCCCGGCCCGGCCCGGCCCGTTTGAAAATGTGAATATTCACATGACATAGTTAACATTCCACATTGATAGGAGTTTTAAAATTAGCCCCACCTCATGGCTGCCCAAAACCCGCCCACAGGCCGTGGGAGGGCCGACCCTGCCTGTTGACAATGTGATGTTCACCATTGACATGTAACATTCACATTGATAAGGTATTAAAACTGGATATCAGTCTTAGGGCGGACCGACCCGGCCCGGCCCGCAACTTTTTGTAATAATGTGGAATTATTCACATTGAAAAAACATTGCGGTTGTTACGAGACACGTATATGGGTCTAGGCAAACAAGTCAAGGTTTCCTCTAATGTTCCAAAATAAAAAACATTTTAGTTTTGATCTATGGGGTTTGGCCGACCTCTGTTATCTGGATTTCTTAAAGCAGTCCATGTGGCGCACTCTTTTCAAAATCTATTCCCCTCAAAAATGATTTGCCTGGATTGGACTCTTTGGTTCAGATTTATTAGAACGTTGGACAAATTTAAAGGAGTCCCAGAGCTGCTAGTCCCCAATCATGAACAGAACGGGGGGACCTCGTTCCTTCCCGGGGCGTTCAGGTGGACGTCTACACAACCGCCATTCACGTGGAATATAGTAATTCAGTTTCAGACATCGAACATGAAAATAAGCTTGCGCTCATTGTGCAATGAACATGAATGAGCTGCGTCTAGATGTTGAACAATTCGAACAATTAAATGAAGGAGTTAAAATTGCGCCCCGTCCAGTAATGCATGAGCTCGTGGTGACGTGCGAAAAAACTTCCAAAGACTCCCAAATACGCCGAGGTATGGGCACCAACTGGCCACTATGGGCGGCCCGGGGCTGGGGCCCGGTTTTCAGAATATGCCGCCTGTGCGTTTCGAAATGTTACATAACGAACTGAATATTGGACTGTGTTATGAGTTATTGACATGTTAACATGTCATGATTGATCGAGAGTATAAAACTGCTGTCCCGCAGAGTCAAGCGTCAAGTGTATGTGGGACCGGCTCGCACAAGAGTGTTCATATTTCCCAAGGGTACCTCAGCCTGTGCCGGAGCGGGCGCCGGTGTGCTCCTGGGCTTCCATCTCAAAGTTTGGGCCCTAGGTGGATCATATGTGAATATTACCATTGACATGTTAACATCACATTGATAAGTGTGTACATTGGCCGTGACCCGTGGCAGCCGAAGCCTGGACCTCAGGCCAGGGCGGGACCCGGCTCGTTGGCTAATTGTGGAATTCACACTTGAATGTTAACTATCTACAACTTGAGTCGAAGTGTAAAATTGTGCCCGCAACCCGTGTGTGGCTTTGAGCTGTTCGTGTAAGTGCAGCTATCGCAGCCCTGATTCGCAAAGATCGAGCTTGAGTCCCGGACCCCGTGCAATTGTTGAGATATGTTCTACCACTTCATAAGTTGGTACGAATTAACAGTTGATATGGGTGTGTAGTCAAATTTGTCCGCTGCCCGAAGCGTGCTCCTCCACCGGACGTCAGATGTAGCCCTCTCGGACCTATGAACCCGGGGTTCGGCCCACGGGCTTCAGGCCGCCCGTGGGACGCGATGTAATTTTACACTCTTATCAATGTGAAGTTAACATGTCAATGTGAATTATTCACGTGTTCAAGTTTTTCAAGTCAACAGGATCCGCGGCCAGGGCGCGTGCGCACGCCGGCCCTGCCTGCGTGGTCCTCAATCTCGAGAGGAGCGTTTATTTGCTCGAAGCCAGCCACGTGGGCACGGAGCCTTAATGTTACACTTTTCTATCAATGTGAATGTTAATATCGTCAATGTGAATATTCACCTTGTTCAACGGCCGGGCCCGGCCACCTGGCCCGGCGGGCCGGGCTGTCGGGACTGCCTCATCGGGGTCACGTTGCGGCCAATTTACACTAAACATTTGATCTCAATGCTATAAGTTTAATTATCGTCTATTGAATATTCACATTGTCAACGTTGCCGGTCCGGCGCGCGCCTTCTGTTGTGGGCATGGGCGGGTTCAGTTGGAGTGATTCCCCGCCATAGGGCAAAAGTCGAGCCAATGTTTTAGACAACTCCGGTCCTATCAATGTGAATGTTAATTTGTCAATGTGATGATATTCCATTCATTTCAAGTCAACGAGCGTTCGCAGGGCGTCGGAAGCCCCTTGCGCGGGCTCGGTCACACCACGGGGTGTTACAGTGATGCGCGAAGTCCCAGGTTGGGACGCGTATGGTCAATTATATACACTCTAGCTTGTATCTCTCATACTGTAGATTTATCCAACAATAAATTGTCTCAATGTGAATATTCACATTGTCAAACAGGAGGCCCGGCGTGGCCGTGGTTCATCCAAATTTCCCCACCCCCGGCCACCACCGCGGCCCGGCCGTGTGGCTACTTCTCGAGCTGTAGCCACGGGACGCGCGTGGCGTAATTTTGTACCTTATCAATGTGAATGTAACATGTCAATTCATAATTCACACTATTCAACGCGGAAGCGTCGGACCGGCGACTCGCCAAGGCAGCCACGAGTCCGCGGGCGGCGTTTCGGGGCCTTGGCGGTGCCTACAGCCGCGAGCTAATTACGCTGTTCAGATTTCAAGTCCTAATACAATTGCTGAATGTAGGGTGGTTTAAAGTGTATCGAGAGTGTGAATATCCAACACTTCTCGTCAACGGGCCGTGCCAGGTGTCCCGGTGTCGATTGCTGCGGGTCTGGCCTCGTCATGGGGCCAATTTACACTCTTGTCAGATGATTCTAATTGTTAATGTTAATATGTCAATGTAGATTAATTCACTCGATTGGTTGTGAGACGTGGCCGGTCTGGGCCCGCCCCGGGCGGCGGGCTGTGTTTCGGCCCGTCCACATGTGTTTCAGTAATTTTTTCAAAATCGGGCCGATGAGAGTGCGCGATTACACTTCCTAATCAATCGGAATGTTAGAGCTTGTCAAGGTGAATATTCATAGTTCAACAGGCCGAGCCGGGCC